TGGTTGATATCATCGACACTCAGTTGTTAGTTTACGCGTTCAAAGCGCAAAACAACAGTTTCACTTTTTTTTAAAATTCAAATATCATTTGTTTTGAACATTCTTTCAAGCACATCGATTGATTCTTACTTCAACTGCAGATTAGAATGCATTTTAAGAATACAAAAATCATTAAATTTGCAAATTATTGTGAAGTTTTTTTGGTTCATTATTTTTCTCTTCGTTGATAGTATTGAAGCGAAGGGACCAGATTGGAGAATCGGTAAAAATTGCGAAATCAGAGCATTTTTTAGGTAGTGAAATTAATCAGCCTTTGANTTTTTTTTTGAATTGAAAGACGTATCGTCTCAAGTACAACTAAGCCCTCTCACTAATCAATCAGTTTGAATTTGTTCCTTCTCAAGTGTTTGTTCAGTTTTAATAGTAAAAATCTTTTGATATCAATAATAAAATTTACTTACAACGAACATGACAAATAGATTAAATAAACAAATGAATATGTGTCTGTCGTTGGAATGAGTAAGCAATACTCAATAGTCTTTTAGCGTTAGGCATAGTTGGCATTTGGCATGCAAGAAGTGATAATCTCATAGCTGGACAACTCAGAAAGTATTTTGTTTTCAACAGCGTTATTCATCCATCCATTAATCAGAAGAAGAGTTGAGAAATGAAAGGTTTTTTTCGATGCGTACCGAAAATCGTTTTCTTTTTCTTGGTATCAGTCGGTGGCACCGAAAATCAGGTTTGCTCGCTTTAGTTCGATAGGCAGTGAAAATCGTTTTTTTTGTCAGTTTATAGTCGAGGAACGGAGATTTGCTGCTTGCATGTATCATCACTTTTAACTTCGCCGACAAATGTGGGGTAGTCGTTGAACTATGAAACGCTTTTTCAATATGAGAATTCCATCATTTGAAACGTATTTTTCTTTACATCGAATAAAATTAATAGTTCATTAAAGTGTTCATTAGAATGCCATAGAATGATACGTTAAAATCAAAAATCATGGCGTTATATACAACGAGTAGGTCGGTGAATGAGAAACGAAAACAAATTATTGGAAACGTTGAGGCCAAGTGTCAATCCAAATGATACTGCTGTAAGTAAACGGTAAATGTTAATAAGTAATGAAGCAGTTCTCTGCTTGATGAACAGCAAACACTCAGGTTTTGCATTTCATTTACAATATAGAGCAATGAGAAATGGAACGGAAATCGTGAGCAGAAAACGGAAAAGTTCAGCGATGAATGCTCATAGCTCGAAATTTGTGTGCGGATAATGCGTGTTTGCTAGACACTCCATTTAAGGAAGTATCCAGATACTTGATCGCAACCGATCTTGTATCACTTTTGCTGAAGCATCGGATAGCGTATACTGTAATGAGAACAAGATCGATGACCAGATGGACTATTAGTGGCTACCGCCGATCAGTCACGTTTGGTTTCAGTCGATGGATCGAAATTCATTCTTCGTTTGTCAGCGATCGAACAGTCGCTTTCGATTCCTGTAGATACTGAACAGGCTTTCGATGGCTAGCGGAAGACGATTCTGGTAACTGTCGAGCGATCAGCCTTTTTCGGTTCTGGTCGATGGCCATTGCTTACTGTACGAATCCTAATCAGAAGTATTATATTTTAATATTCATGGGCATATGTCTTTCTGAATCATTTTCAGCTTGGCATTAATTTATCGTTGTTGTCTATCTAAGGTACACAGTATTATGAAATCAAATACATTTATGCATACAAAAACATAAACGTACATCGAAAAATTACATCATACATTGAATTTGCAGTTGAGTTGAAATGCACTTAAAATGTTCTCTTATTTCAGAAATCGTTTTATCGATCCATTCTTTCTTTCACATCAATTCAGTTCAGTTCCATTCCATTCCATTCCACTTTGTTCTTCTTTCCATTCAATAGACACACTCTATTCATTCGTTCCATAATATACTGTCTCGTAATCTCACACTACCTCACCACCCAATTCTCTCTCTCTCTCTTGTTTGTTCAGTCAATGTGCAACAAAAAAAATGTTTTTTTTTGTTTGATGCATTTCTAGCTGGCTGGAGTTTTACTGCTTGCATGTACCGATGTTGCAGCAGTTGTGAAAAAAAAAAGTCGCCGACATTTAGTGTCTCATTGAAAAGTGAAGTATAATGGTTGTTGTTGTCTTTCAGCTAATCGATGGACTACAGCATTCACGATGTTAGTTAGCATTAGAAGTAACATCGAAATATTATTTCGTTTCTTAAAAGCAGAATAGAAAACATTTTGGAAATATGGATATGTGTATGTGTCGTATATACGTTCAAAATCATAAAAATGCGCACTACATGATTGCATGATCAAAACAGATGTTTATAGTCGAAAAAATATGCTTCGAAAGAAATTAAGGGTGTGTGTCACCGAAACATTCCAGTGAAATGAAGTAAGACTGTAACAGGAATATTGGCTCTACCAATTACAAGTTAGGCTCCTGGCATGATGTATTTGCAATTATTGCAAAGAGAAAAATTCGGCGATATTCTAATTGTTACAGGAAATTTCAGTTGTCATTAGTAGTCTATTCGATGTGGTGTAATATGCAACATTTCAGATACAGTTAATTTCAATAACTAACTAATTTTATTCCTACCACTAAGTGGGAATATCATTTTTATTAATGAATGAGTTCTGTGCAGACTTCACGGAAAAGAACAAGAATAGTATTTGCAGGGAATATCATGTTAATAAAGGAGCAGTGTTTAACAGAGATGCTTCTGATAGTCAGTTATTGCATGCTGAATATTCCGTTCTTGTTTCATGGAATGCTAATGAACTAGTGTACTAATAGTGCATGTCGAAAAAATGATATCAGATTTTATAGAAATCTAATGATGATGAAATCGTTGCAAAGAAACGGCTGCAGATTCGAGCAAAATATTTCTGTTTGTGCAGAGATTCGTCGTGCATTTCGAATGTGTTCTAGATTTTAGAAAACATACCATAATTTCATATCATCGTTATTCTGTATGCATCTTATGGATGTATTTGGAACGGCAGCCTGTTTCAGACTTAACATAAAAAGATAATGAAACTAAGTCTCTTACTTTGCTAGACAGACGAACGAAACCCACACACAGACAGTTCAAGTGAAATTAAATCGCTTGATCAAATGTTATTATATTTTTTCGGTCTCTCAATTTTCTCAGTTCTCTACCAATTTCATCATTTTTTAATGTCTACTGTCTGTTTATCATAAATTTTACTCATTTTAGCGTTACGTCTATTTCAGAGATCACTTTTTTTCATTCCTTTACCTGATTTGTCTGAAAATTGATGCGTTTATTTATGTTTATGTTTATGTTTTTGCTTTTCATACATCTCATCCTCTTCTGCATCCTTTTCAACTTATACTTTCATAATCATGAGCCAGAGAAATGAAGCCAACCAAATTCGTCTTTTCTGAATAATTCATGCATTCAAACAAATGTAGTTCGATAATTATAGTCAGCTAGACAGACAAGAAAAAAAAGAAGCGACGAGAAAGGTTCACATAAAATGTATTCAGTTATTTGAGTATTCATGAAATTTTCATGTAGAATTTTATACCAAGTTTTATACTTTAGTGATAGATATATCTTTTTTGGATGTCGTTGACGAATGTCTAGACGTTGCGTTATACTATAAACATTTTATGATCCAGACAAAATCAACTCATTCTTTCCTCTGTCTCATTGTGCTTTTTTATGAAATGTTAGTTCATCTATTTTCCATTCTTATTCCCTCAACTCTTTATGCTATTTTTTAGTTATCTATCGTTTTTTTCGTAACAACAATGGTTTCATTTCTTTTTAACTTGTCAGTTTTTGAGAAATTTTTTTCATTACCTATTTTAATCTGAGAACACTCTCTGTCTGCTTGCAGTGAATCAGACCCGTTTCATATGAGTAATGCACGGTTAAGCATAGGGATGTAATAACCTTGAATATGGTTTTACACCTCAGTGGATACTTTTCCCCATAGGGGAACTACCGAAAACCCATCACAGTAAAATCTCCTTCCAAAAATTAGCTAATTTGGTTAGAATGCTAACTGTCCGTTTGTCTGTGCATTAAGATTATTTCCCATCTAAGCTTGCGAATTAGTTCAAGATCTTATACAATTGACCCCTCCATGCAGCGTCGGTCCCCTCCATCCCGAGTATGTTTAGATCATAGAACGTAGTCGAGCTCGAAGACTACAAATTAACCGAAGGNGCGTAATAAGATTGAATCGCTTGGAAAGGCGATGCTGCATTCAACAAACAAAACATTGTCAATCGCATAACCGGCATCATTATTAAAATTGATAAAGAATTAAATATAATCATCAGTCAAAATGCATTAAAATATTTCAAAAATTGTTATTCATTTGTCGCAAACCATCTGTTCAACGTATCCGTCTGAACATACTCCATAACGTCACCTACTAAAAATGCAAACGCCTCTCACTAGTCTTGCGTCATTCGTCGTATCAGACACTGATATTAAGTTATCAGTCGTAAGTAATCGAATGAAACACAACTATATTTTTTGTTTGTTTTGTAAATTCATTCGATCGAGTGTGGAATTTTAATGTGTTAACACGAAAAGCTAAGAGTGCAATTGCGCCGAAAAACGAAAGGATTGTTTTCAACGATTTGCAAGTCTCGAAATGATTTCTTATTCGAAATTACTGAACCGTTGCATCATCGACTCACAAGTCCACATCATAACGATCGCTATGAAAGTCTCGAATTAATCATGCTTTTCCCATACATCATTTGTTCAGGAATTTGCTGATTGCTTGAGCTATCTCAAATTACTTTCACCCATTAGACCCTCATTGAGATACTCCGAGAAAGAGTACTTTTATGACTGTTTTAGTGACTTTTATCAGTGGGAAGTGACTGATTGAAAAATGGTATTAAAAGATCGAAAGTTTCATTAAAGTCTACAAATAATCCTTTTGAAAATTATTTCACTTCAGCGTCGATTGATGGCAAAGCTGGATAGTGAACCCGAGGATCGAGCCTCAAATAGCGATGAGGAGTGTTGTATTTGCGTACAAAGGCGAGCCTCAGTACGTGCGTTTCCTTGTGGTCATAAAGTCTTTTGTAGAAAATGTGCTGTTCATTTGATTGAGGTACGTTCAAAATTTATTTAATCGTTTTATTCCTTCAGAATTATGACCGTTTTCAATATTCATTTCTCTTTGTTTAATTATTGCTTATCGAATATTTCATTTTGTCATCATTTGAACACTTTTCAAAAAATATTTGTTTCAATTTTATTTGCAAAAGATGAACAATTGTAATGAGAAGAGTAGCGTTCATGCAATCAATCTGTCTGCGAGACGACCATTCTTCGGTTCAGTCAGTCGTTCGCTTCAAGCGATGTTTTTTGTTGTAAACTTTTATCAGTCAATCAGAAATATTTTATTTTTAACTTGTTGTTTCTTGGTGCATTCAATTTATTCTGTTCCGTAGTTGAATTTCTAGAGGAAACGCATTGAAAGAAATGCTCGTCAGAATCAGTTTTGTATTCACTTTCCGTTGTTTCGAATTTTGGCTTTTTATTGTGCAAACGACTGACACTCGGCTGCGTTGGCTAGCACTCATTGCACACAATGAACACAAGAAAAAGAAACAAAATGTTTCGTAGTCAAAAATTTTCTATCGGTTCGATTTTCTGTGCGAACGAAAAAAAATTGAAACGAATGCGATTTGAACTGAACTTTGGTGCGATATAATAGATTATTCGTTTGGTTTGATTGTTTTATGTGCATGGGGATTATTGTCGGATTGTCACGCAGTGCGTTCGATCATTTCGTTTTGGGGTAAATCATCGTTACAGAAGTTTTCTACTTTTAGAGTTTTTAGAAATGAAAAACACTTTCATAATGAAATTGCTTCATCGATAAAATGATTTTTGATTCTTTATTTAAGTTGGATTGAAATTCATTATCGATGATAGTAAAAAAGGAATTACTTGTTTTGAACGATGAAACGATTGATGATGAATGTTTTCAAAATAGATAACGGATTTTATCATGTGATTTTCATGGCACGAACGGTTTTGATAGAATCTTGTTTGTTTTTTAAATGTGACTGTTGATCGTTCCAAGATTTAGTAAAATGAATAAATTGGGTAGTGGTGGTAATTCTGATAGCAATTGTAACCATCCTCATAAATGTTATAGCGATAATAACAATGTTGGAATCGTCCTCATAATAGCAACGTGAATGAACATTAGCTGGTATTTCTCGCGGAACAGGGTTCCCGTCGAACGGGGAGTAATTGCCAGAACGGAGAGTAATTCTCTGCAATTCATGCTGAGACGTGGGTCCACGGTCAGGCGTACGAGAATTAAAAAACGCATCCTTATTACGGTTACATTCTTACGTTGCTGCTCGTTTCGGCGTGAGTTGATGCGCAGTAATAGTTATTGAGCAAACACATTTACAGCAACTACGACAAGTCTTGCTTCACTTGAACTACTCATTATGCCCGTGTTCTGTACCCTTTTCTATACGTTCTCTTCTTAGGGTATCGTGAAAAATTCACGGGACTCGCTCAGAAATGCAATTAGGTGTAGTGTGCAAGAGCGAGCTAGTTCTCGTTCATATTCACTGGGAGTCAGAAAGTTGCTGTCCGACGAGCACTATAGTGACAGTGATAGTGATAATATATATTAATTTGCAGTTAGCGTTGAAAGAGAATCGCGTCCGAGTGAATTGCATAATTTGTCGACAGGATATCGCGCGTTTGCAGTACTCGCGACCATCCAAAGTTGTCAAGATCCACACGCAGCAATCACCGTTGCAGTTTTGTTCATCGCTTTCAACAACGCATAATAGCCATACGAATAGTTTCAATAATAATTATTATCATAATTCAACTAATCATTTTTGTAATTGTAATTCGCATCCATATCATCCTTCTTCAACTTCTTCGTCCACTTCATCATACTCATAGTATTAATAGTCATTTATTGTTTTCGTATATTTGTGTTGTATATTTAGTAATGTTGGTGATCACAATGGTGCATTTCAGACTTCATTCTTGTTTTGTAATTCAGATATAATCTCGTTCGTTTCTGAATAGGAATCATTATTTCTAATCAGTGATATCTCAAGCGTATGAAATGTTGTAGATTTATTTGTATGATGTGCCGTTGTTGGTGAAAGGTTCTCAGCACTAAACAGTGATAATAATGATTATAATTTATCTTCCATTCTCATATCAGTTGATATCCTAATCAGTGGCAATACAGCATTATTTATTTATTCGTTTACTCGTTTATGTATTAATTTACCTATTTATTACCACGTCAATGAAATATATTTGAATTGATAATGAATTATTCCATGAGTAAACTGTCGAAATGTTCAAATCACTTAGAAAAATTCTCAATTACCTGTTTATTGTTGCTTTCTGTGAAATTTTTCAAACGCCAAATTATATTGTTGGATGGCATTTCATCAAATTAATGATTTGGATGGAGATCACATTTTGAATGTTAGTGAAGAGGGGAAATGAAATATATTTGATAAATAAGCTTAACTTAGATGAATGAGAAGCAGAACATGTATATATGTATGTGCATAAGTCAAGTTGTTGAACTTCAATAAAGCGCTCAAATTCCAAACTTTTTTCATCGCATTCGAATTTCTCTCGAAGTATTTTTTAATCATCAAATGGTAGATTTTTCGCCGTCTTTCGGCTGAGGAGCAGCGAGATTCTGTCGATGCATTTTTCTGTTTCGTTTAGTATTTATATTATATATAAATATAACTAATTTTTACTGAATGTCGAGTTGATCGTTTCAAATTAAATTGTTCGTTGTTGTTGGTTACCATTATTATTAATATTATTATTACTATTACTATTATTATTACTATTATTATTAATGTTATTATTATTCATATCTCCTATTCACCGCATTGTATGTAACTGTTTTTGTGTTATTATACGATGTTTTTTTGTTGTTTGATTGAAGTTTCGTAATGACATTATTAATCATTCGAATAATGATAATAATAACGGAAATAAAAGTATTATTTCTGGATTGCATTCGTCACTAAACAATGGAAGAATGCTGCGTATCATTTATCATCATCAACAGCCACACTTCTGATTGTCGTCTGCTTCGTTGCAGACAAATGCATTTCTTACTGTCAGCTTCACCTCATTCGAGAAAGCAAGAGAATAAGTCATCGTTAGTAAATGCGCCTTTTCAATGCTCTGTGCAGTTTGTTTCTAATTGTTCAGCTTGAAAACACCTGCCTACAAATGTGCTGTGCTCTGCTGTTTAAAAGGGACGAGATTTTAAAAAATGCCGAGTCGAACAGTTGTACATTTTAATCGAATTAGACGACGAATACGAATGTCTTTATCACGTTAACGCAGTGTTTCCCAATACTGTTGTTGTGCTGGAAATGGATGCTATGAGATTTTGTTACGTTTGGAAAGGGAGGATAAGGGGGGGGGGGGGGNGTTGAGTGAGGGCGTTTATCCATTGATCTATTTTTCGGTCAGTGCTTCCAGAGAGGTAAATGGCTGAGAGAGGAAAAGTGGGAAAACACTGCCTCAGTACTTAAACCCAAAGAATATATTTGATTCAAAACATACACATGCTTCAAAGACTTATTTCATCTCAAAAACAATCAAAGCAAAAACAACAAAAGTAAATCGATTAGCATATGTTTAGAATGCGGCTTTTTCGCCTTTAATTCTTTAGAACTATCAGTTGGCGCTGAAAGCATTTGAGGTAGTTGAGGTGTATGGTGATAATGGCCTCTAACAGATTCATTAAACAGCTCCAAGTGTTCGGCATCAGGAGGGTGCTCTGTTTCACTAATCAGAAATGAACTCAAAATTTATTGCTGTACCAAACTAATTTCATATTAACATTTTCAAAAAAGAGTATAGGTATCTCTACTGATTCCCGCCCTCTGATAAACAATATCGGCAGACGGAATTCCCGGTCCGGACGCAGGTCGTTTGTTATCGTCATTATCAAATGTACTCCGAGAATATTGATTGAAATTTAAAGTTATCTACTTAAAAAGTGAATTCGTCACAGTATCAGTTGATCTCTTCAACTATTCATCAGCTGCAAACAGAAAGAGACTTGAACGACAAAAGTGATAGATGTATTGCGTGAAGGTTAATCATTCAACTTGAAATTACCTTCGAACAAAGAAAGTGAAACATTTCGTAATGATCGTTCAATTGGAAATTTTATGTTTTATTTGATTATTTGGTTTATTTTATGTTTTATTTGTTTTTTTTATGTTTTTGGTTGTACGCTTGCATTGTTCGGTACACTTCTCTTTGTTTTTCGTCTTCATTGAACTTTTATCGAGAATTCGCTTTGTTTGTTCGAATTACATTTGAAAGTTGCCACTTATATTTTATTCATTGTACCGATATATTTGCATAGAACATTCAAAATTGTCTATTGTTGAAAATGCATTCAGTGGGTGATGGATGGATGACATTTTGTTGATGTTTTTAAAATCAAATGTTGTTTGTTTCGATTTTTTAGCGTGTGATTTTTAATTTGGTCTCATTCCTTTGTCTTTTATCAATGGTTTTATTTTTGCAATATTTCCATTGATTAATTTTCTCTCGCTAAGCGAATTGTTAATGATGAAAACGAAAGTGATAATAATGATATTAGAATCTTCTCTTTATGCTTCAACTATAAGAAAAAAGCTTTCACGGCATTATGCTAATTTCGTGCCAAAAAGAATTAGTTTCGAAATTCGCTAGGCTGTGGATATCATCATAATCGTCACTGGAAATGACGGCAATGATGCGTTTATCATTCACAGAATTAATAACTGCATGCATGAAGAAATCGTCAATTAGTTTCGCATATTTCATTATCACGAATCGAGCAAATTAAACGATGACGTATGGAGTGTTTTTAGTTGAAAGTAATACGACGTTGAATGTAACGTTTGAAGTGAATTCGATCAGCGTACAAATGCGATTGAGTTTAGCTGTTAAGTGATCAAGTTATCGAATTCGCTGAACGAACGCAAAAGATCATCGTTTATGGTGACGGCTGTATGCTAACAGTGCTTCAGAGTGCAGCGATATGGAACGCTGAATTCAACGAAGAGCTGCAATCATTAATTGACGATGAGTGAAAAATTTTATGACATTTTCGATTGTCACGTTATTGATACAACTGAAAAAAAACGGAGACTGATAAGAAAGCGAAGTAACGGAATAAAAATTTTAAAATATAAGGCGATCGTTTAATTGTGTTCTCTCAAAAACAAAAAATTAATGCCAAATGAATTAATAACAAGACACATTCAATTCTTCTGTGCATAATAATCTCGCTGTTGTTGAAGAAGCACCCCGATGTATTCACAGAGAGATAAAGAAAATTAGTCCGTTCATTCGACAAATGCTACGTGGAGAAGCAAAGAAAAAGAGATCAATCAAACTATAATATATCGAATGGATTTGTATGACAAAATGATCATTCAGAAGCAACTGATGAGGATGCTTGAAATGAAATTGCATTCACACGGATGCAGTCATTATTCGATGTAGACAGACGTCTGGGTACTTGATGATATCATTCTATTCAGCTAATTGATTACTGTTAGTTATGAATGTTGAATAACTGCATCAAGATAATGACCCATCTGCAATAAGGTTTGTAAAATCCCGATGATTTTTCAATCTCGGGATCGGGTTGAATCCTGGGATCGTTTTTCGATCTCGGGATAATCCCAGGATCAAGCAGACGTCTGGGTACTTGATGATGTCAGTCCGTTCATTCGACAGATGCTTCACACTGATTAAAATTGTCTTACGCAGATAACAAAATTCTTTGAAATGTAGAAGTGTCATGCGTTCAACACATTCTTTGTGGACCAATTCAATGGATTAATGTTCAGTCGCTTATGTCTGAAATGGAAGGAAACCAAACAAACATATTCCTCGACAAATTTTCTTTTGAAGTTCTCAGATGCTTCACACTGATTAAAATTGTCTTACGCAGATAACAAAATTCCTACATTAAGAATAATTTAAAATTTTGAAATAGGATCGTCAACAAAAGGAACGATCATCAACATTGCAACAAAAAGTATAATTAAGGTTGACAAACAAATAAGAGATTCACAGAATACAATTTAATGAACTTTGAAACATTGTAAGCCTGCCGATCAATTCATTGAGTGGATCAATAGTTAGTGTAAGATTAGATTTGAAGAATTTGGTAATCGGTGGGTCCTTTTCGGCCTGCAGAGTATTTATTTCGTTGCAGAATCTTGTATTGCGATTCCATTTTAAATGCGCAAGTAGTCTTATCGTACACGATCCTTTTGCCTTTTTAATTTCACCGCACGGTTTACGTTTCACAGTTCCATTTTCTTTTTGAAAAGAACATTCCCAGCAGCTCGAATGATTACCGCTTTCGACATGTTGTTTTTATATATCCGGACGAACTCGCATTGTTTGAAGGCAAATTTTAAGAATAAATGTGAAATTGTTGGATCATAATGGATGAAAAACAAAGCGTCGGTGGTGACGCACTACGAGGCAACGATGATGACATCAAGAAATTCTTGTTCAATGTTTTTTGAAAAGACATTGAAGAAGAAGAAGAAGCCGAGGTGGCACCATTCTAAATTCTTTCATTACCCGTTTGTTGCTAAACAACACATACTGTTGCATATGACTGACTTCGGAATGATTAACGTATGATTCGAAATGAGCATTTTACCCAAAACATTAAAAATGCCTTCTTTTATCACATCCCGAAATACTGGAATTTTTCAGAACTTGAATCCCGGAATCAGGGCTTGTTTCGAAAGTCAGGATCCCGAGATGCCGTGTATTAAAGCTGTCCGAAAAATCTTCTACACGTGATTAATCTTCTTATATAACAATTGATCTTTTATCAGTGGTCCATAATCTTCTTCATGTAATTAACAGATAATTTTTCCAGCGATCCATGATCTCAAGAACATTATCCTTAAAAAGTTTTTCAAAGTTCCGTCTATTTAATTTTAACGGCCAACTAATCACTACTGCAAAAATTTATATCAAATCAGTCTCCAGAAAATCAATTAACGAGGTTAAAAGCAAGTTTTTAGGAGAGGATATTTGTTGAAGTATCCGCCTGAATCGTGCAACGCCATTCGAACAAATTTTTGGTTCGAATTCAACAAATATATCGCTATTGGTTTACTGCACCTTCTTGTATTATAAAGTTTATTCGTCACAAATTCTGAACATTGATTTAGTTTTCTCCTCTTCGATAACATTCAGTAAAAAACGCCCATTTGATGAAGCAAACAACGATAATTTTTGATGTCTAATAATTCATTGCCTCGAAGAAGAATTTTTCCTTGTTTGAAAATATCGAAATTGAGATTTTTGATCGTTCAAATTCTCTGCTTGCTCTTCAAATTTTTTTCGTCGTTGTTTGTCTCGATGTTTTCCGTCAGCCTTCACCATCATCATCAACAGCGCCATCATTATGTCATGCAGACTGTGGTAATGTCTCATAAAACGACGACTCAAAACACGAATACGCGCACAAGATTCAGTCGAAAATTTATTATGATGGTGTTTGATCGAAGTGGCTGCAGTGATGGCAGCGCAGGGATATGTGATGATTATGTGTGCATGTGAGTGTTTTTTTAACTAATATTTTTATTAAATCGCTCTTGTCGATGTCTAGCTGTCTGTCTGTAAAGCACGACATCACGTCTCGAGTATGGCGTCATTCGAAGTCATCAACAAAAAACATCTTTGAAGGCAATCAACGCAGACGTATGCGCTTCATCACTTCATTCGGTCTCATCTCATCATACAGCTATCCTTCTTTCGAGTTGTTTCCGGATGTTCGCTTAGTAAAACAATGAATGAACATTTCATCGCACGCCTACATACAGCCTGCACGACTTTCATGACTGAACACTTATTATTTATGATTTTCTCCACGAATAAATGCAAGGGAATTGCTTGAATTTGACTAACTGAGTTTGTTATAAAATTTCATGAAAATATAATAGCGTATATGAAAGAACTTTGCAAGTGCACTACTAAACACATCAACCGTACTAAAAAGGCAACAGTGAATGCGATTTTAACATAAGATAATAACAGCAACAGATAAAACAGCAACAATAATCACTGTAATCCAATTTCACGTCCCGAGCTCGTTTACTGTCTGAGCGGTACTGTGATTTAGCTAATCATTATTTATTTATTCACTGAATTCTTTCTTCATGATAGCGATTCATTGTGAGTGTCCTTAATGTGCAATCATACAGAAACAATTGCGCAACCATTATACAAAATATGCATGAAATTTTCAAAAATACATTTCAAGCAGTGAACTGGAACTAAAATCGTGAAATTGTCAACGTGTGAGGTACGTCGATGTCGTGCTTTATAGACAGACAGACAACTGAATTTATGTCATATTTGTCGCTTAGATATATTTCTCTCCGAGTTTGACTGTGAGATGATTTTATAAAAGACTGGTTAGACGTGCGGCGCTTTCATTGTTCAGTGTCTTATTTGTGAATATTAGAGATGCACCTTTCGTTAATTTTCAATATATTTCCACATGAGACTTCGAATTAAAAGTACGAATTAAGCCAGATAATTTTACGTGAACCATGAAATAACTTTAATAACACTAGTAATAGTTCATGAGTTACGTTCAGCTTCTTTTTTTGCACTTATTCGCCTAATTTGCGAGAACGTTTTGGTTGACATTGGTATGGGGTTGATCAAGTTGATAAAATTACTTCAAGATTGCAACACAATGAACGGTACATATACAAACCCAATTCTTTGAAGAGATTCTCTGCAAAGTCCAGATCAAAAACTTCTGAAAGAATATCTCCAAGATGTGTAACAGAAGCGATATCAAGCCAANGAACTGAAGCCGTATGTACTACGGCTAGTTCATCAATAACCTATGAAAAACAATCACCTTATTGTTATTGTGACACAAAACTGTCAAAAATACCATCAATTTCATGGCACTTTTGCAGATAAACATGGAAAACAAATAATCATAAGCATGTACAGTTGCAAGCATGCACTCCGCAGCTTTCACAGTTAATCTTTTTGAATCCCGTAGCTTAGTAACAGACATAAAAAAGAAAAAATTTCTGAGAAGAGTTATTCTGTTAAGCTTCAATCAACATTTAAAATATTTAAAGTGCAAGATGAAGACAACAATTACATATGCTGATCCACTAATCCGTAATTATGATTTATGCTCTACCGAGCTGCTTTACTTCTTGCACGGTGACCGTTTCGTAGACGGCTATGATTTTTGCCATGTGCAGATCCTCGAGAATCAGAATGCCATGTGTTACGTCCGCCTCAACGAAAACTTTTGGAATTTTGAATTTGGTGTTGTTGCTTGCTGATTCATGTTTACGGTAGAATGCTGTCTCCACATTGTGTATCTATCTCCAGTGAACGTTAATCCTTATGCAGTTGCTACTATCACATTGTTATGACTACTATTGTTACTGCTATCAGTATATTGTCACATACGTCTTTTGATAAAAGTATGCGGTTTGACGCATGTTAGGGAATGTTTGCGTGCAGCTGAGTTACTGATCAATTATTCGCAAGTTACCACCTGGTGATTATATTTTAGATTCAAATTGGGATAAAATGGATGCTTACCGACTGAAATGCGAACTCTCACCGTTTCTATCATCTTCTCGTAATGNTCTAACGTTTCTTCAGGATTCGTATAACCCGCTTGTTCGAAATGATCAAACAAATCTGCATTCTCCATATATTTCTTGGCTGATGCTATTGATGGTATTTTAACAATTATACTTTCCGGTAGATTTTTCTGATGGTGCGTTCGATCCGCATAAAGACGACCCATTGTGGACATAAATCCCTGAATATCTCTGCATATGCAAGCAACAAAAGCAAGCTTTATTAAGGCTTAGACAGACCATACATTATGGACACTTCGTGAATAAAATTCTCTATTGTTGCTAAGAATTTGTTCACAATCTTTCCTTACGACGAAGCCAACTTTAATCACAAAATTCAACACAAAGAATTTAAAAGCTCGCTCGACAAGCGATAGTAAATCTCACTTGTCCAGCTCCAATCAGTTCAACTCGTTTGTTTATTCCAAAATTTGTATCCGTTTTGCCATGTAATGCTTTCTTCAGTTTCTGTTCCACATAATGCCATGTTACCATCGTATCGAGAATATATTCAGAATCACCTTCCTCACTACGAATGTTTTCATTCTCAGAGGTTTTGATTGTTGCACGATTTGGCGACGAATCGTTTGTTTTACCCATTACAGAGTTCTTTTATTGGCGACTGGAATCTAACTGAAGGAGCATCTTTTTAGCGAGTAATCATTAGGACACGACTTCATTTTGCAGTATTTTGTGATAGCAACAGCAATGGGTTACATACATATTGTACTACTCGATCGGTTCTGTTCCAGATGAGATTGCAACTTT